ACCCTTCCTCTACCCTCCCCTCTTTCTCTCTCTCTCTCTCCACCCCTCCCCTGTCTCACTCCCTCTCCATCCCTCTTTCTCTCTCTCTTTCTCTCCTTCTTCCTCTACCCTCTCCCTCCCTCCCTCCCTCCCTCCCCCCTTTTCTCTCTCTCTCTCTCCCTCCCTCCTTCCTACTTCCTCTTTCTATTCGCATTCCCTATTTCCTGAAACAACACTCTGACGTCACCAACCTATAGCTTATAACGTCACCGGAAAAACACTTGAAGCCGAAGTCACAGAACCGGACATTCCCCCACATAACGGGAGTGGTCGCCGCGCTACCGTACAGTACACCTTAAATAGCGCTCTTTAAAACCCTGCTGTACTTAAGTCATTACCTTACACGGCGTTATGGACTTGTCGAAGGTGAATTAAAACTCTTTATTATCTATATGCGTGATGATTGGCATAATAGTATTGATATTCATAAGCTGATCGTGATTAAATTGATTATTGAAAGCTTGCCGATACTAATGATACTTTTATCATTATCAGTGATGACAGTATGGATAGCAAATACTAATTATTTTCGAAACGTTGATGATAATGATAATCATAATGATAATAACCTATATTGGCTATGGTAATAACAATACCAGTATGGCAGTAGCAGTAATAACAATTTATCTACTACTACCAATTTTGCTACTGCTACAATTACTGCCACTTTTACTGCTACTACTATTACTGTTGGTACTAGTACTACTATGACACCTATTTCTATTACTACTACTACTGCTAAAACTGCTACTAATACTAATACTACTTATACTAACACTGATGTTTATAATACTAATGATAATGATAAAGATAATAATGGTAATGAAATAACAATAAATGATAATGGAAATAATAATGCTAATGGAAATAATAATGCTAATGCTAATGGTGATGACAATAGCAAGGATATTTTTTTTTAATGATGATAATCATAATGCTGATAATGATGATGACAATGATAATGATAATAACGATAATGCTAATACTACTACTATTACAACAGCAGCAACTACCACTAGTTATGAAAGCAATAACAATAATAATGATAACAGTGACGATGATAATAATGATGATAATGATAACAACGATGATGATAACAATATTGATAATAACATCTAAAGAAATAACGATAAGATTGAAAATAGGAACAGAAAGGAAGAAAAAGAATCTGAATCAAGACAAGAATAAAAATAAGGAGCAAGATAAGAACACAGAGGAGAATCAGAAAAAGGTTACGGATGAAAAGAAGAATGAGAAAAAGAAGAAAAGAAAAGAGATAAGAATAACAAAGGGTATAAGCATTAGCAAAAGCATAAGAATGTGATTAAGACCAAGGATAAGAAAAAAAAAGAATGAGCATATAAGGAGAATCAAAAAAATATGATAATAATGATGATGATAGTGACTATTATGAAAATTATGATGATAATGAGAATGATAATAACAACAACAACAACAACAGTTATGATAAGAACAATAATCATAATGATGATGATAATGATAATGGTAATAATAATAATAATAACAATGATGATAATAACAATATTGATAACTAATAAAGATGATTGTAGTGATTATAGTAGTAGTAGTAGTAGTAATAGTAATGATGATAGAAATAATGATAATGATAATGATAATGACAATAATAATAATGTTTATAATAATAATGATAATGATAATGATATAGATGATAATAACAATAATAATGATAATGATTATTATTATATTATTATTATATTATTATTATCATTAATTATTATATTATATATTATTATTATTATATTATTATTATTATTATTATTATTATTATTATTATTATTATTATTATTATTATCATTATCATTATTATTATTATTATTACGATAATAGTAAATATCATTATATTGATAATAATTTCAATAATAATGATAAGCATAATACTAATACTGACAATAGCAATAATAATGATAATAATAATAAAAGAAAAAGAAATCATTATAATAATAGTAATGACAATAATAATTATAAAAGAATAGAATGATAATAATGATAATAATAATGATATAATGAATAAAAAGATACTAGTAATAATAATGATAATAATAACTATATGCCACTACTAATGATAATGATGATAACGATGATGATGATAATGACAGTCTTGAAAGTGATTTTAATGATGATGATGCTGATAGCAATAGTAATAGCAATAATGATGATGATGATGATGATGGGTGCTAATAAGTAAGGTAATATTAATAGTAATTATTATCATCACTTCTATCATTACTAGTGTTATTATCATTGTCATTATTGCTCTTATAATAACTATTATTATCATTATCATTACATTATCATTTTTATTATCATTATCAAAATCTTCACTGTCATTATCACTATCATCATTATCATCATTATCATCTCACATACTATTGCTATAGTGATGATGATAATGATAGTAGTAATAGTAATAACAGGAACA